GGATGGTGGGTGAGGCGTCATTACAGCCACCATCATGCCGGGGTCCTGGATATTTGCAGGCAAAGGCAGCCTGCTCCTCTAATGCCCTTTTCATTCGCGGGAGAGGGCTGTCCCTGGCCAGGGGAAGGTCTAGCACCTGAACCACTTACAGGAGAGACAGAGCCAGGATGCAGCCCACCGGGGAGGCGCCACATTAAGAAATCAGGGTGGGGTCTACACTTGAACTGGCCTTGGACCAGCCACGTCATGAGCTGAGAAGCAGAGGCAGGTTTGTAAGAGCTGGGGCAGCCGGAAGGGCCAAGGGTGAGCAGCAGGAGACAGACAAATCCCCAGGCAACAGGAGGAAGGAGGAGAGAAGCCTGGGGTGAGCCCCCTCCAACATCAGTGAGCGCCTGCCCTTGCCCATCTGCCTTCCCCTTGCCCTTCCGACCTTGCTAATTTATTTTCTATTTTGCTCTCAGGTGTGTATAAATGGAGACGTAATGCTACTTGTGTTTTAAATGTAACCCTCCCCCCCATGGCCATTCTATAGATGTAAGAATAAATGCTGAACTTTTCAGTTTGAAATTCTGGAATTCATAACCCCAACACCAAATTCTAACTGGTGAACATGTTGGGTTAAGACGGCTCAGAGGTATTCTACGCGGGCTTATGGTTCTATGGATCACGTGTCCTTATTGCAGACACCCCTCTTCAAGAGTCACCCTCATGGCCAACATTCTGATTGGAGTGGATAAATATTCGCGTTTGGTCAAAAACACTACAGTCAGGGTAATCGTGGAGAGAGAGAGAGAGAGAGAGAGAGAGAGAGAGGGAGAGAGAGAGAGAGAGAGAGAGAGAGAGAGAGAGAGAGAGAAAGGTCTTTTATTTGATCATTGCTCTAAAAGTGTGGGCCGATCTCATGCAGCTGTTTCCGAAGAAATGTGTCTCAGGCCTGACAGGATAAATTCTCTTCAAGGGGGAATCAAAGAAAATAGCATCCAAGAATGCAAAACAAGCCATTGTCGCCCTCACCCCGTCACACCTACAGAGAGCTCCCCAGCTGCTAAAGAGAACTGTTTCCATCGCCCAATAAACCACATGAGGACATTTAAAGAGAAAGATCTGTGAGACCCAGTCAAATCACACATTACTGTGCAAATGAAATCATCCCGGCTTCCCAGGATCTAAAGATAACCTGGGCCCCAGCCAGTTTGGCTCAGTGGATAGAGCGTCGGCCTGTGGACTGAAGGGTCCTGGGTTCGATTCCTATTCGATTCCGATCAAAGAGACATGCCCGGGTAGCAGGCTCCATCCCCAGTAGGGGGCGTGCAGGAGGCAGCCCATCAATGATTCTCTCGTCATTGATGTTCCTATCTCTCTCTCCCTCTCACTTCATCTCTGAAATCAATAAAAAATATTTTTAAAAAATATTTTTTAAAAAAAGAGGATAACCTGGACTTAAATGTAAAACCCACGCCAGTGAGGAAAGCCATAAAAAATGATTAAAATCAAATTTGATAATAGAGCATAAAATTGTTGAATAAACATATAAAGCATCGCATTTCTGGATTGGAATCCTCGTACGCGCATTAACGGGGTCCCCACTGCGCCCTCCCACGGCCGACGCTGCCTCTCCCCGCGTCAGGCACGGGACACGTGGGTTCTGGACTGACACTCCGTGGACAGGCTCAATCAGCAAGACTCTTTGGAACTGTTTCAACGGTCCTTGGCTACTATTAACATTTTTAATCTTTCATTTTTATTATGTATCTGATGTCAGCCTCACGCGCAGGAAGCCCATTTCGTCAATTAAATAATTAATCCCACAGCATCCCTGTCAGGGAGGAAACACTGACATTTGTCAGGTTCAAAGAAAATGAGAGTCTAGGAGGATTTGCCGTGATGCTGGCGCGAGAAAAACAGACCCCGAGAGCCGACTTTCCTTCCACTGTTCCTGCCACAAACCTGCCCCGGAGCAAAGCCCAGTAAGAAAAGGTATGGCCACCCTCCTCCTGCCTCAGCCTCAGGGACCCATATCAGCTCTATTTCCTAAATATGCCTCAGTGCTCTCACCCCCTCCAGCCCACCGTCAGAACATGGAAGCATGGAGCAGACTGCTGAACCTCAGAGGGAAGGCGGGGGAAGGCGGGTAGGTGGGAAGAGATCACCCAAAGAACTTGTATGCAGGTATGCACATGGGCACAGACAATAGGGTGGTGAAGGCCAAGGGCACGGGTGGGGGGGCAGGGGCAGGCCAGAAGGGGTCAGTGGGGGGAGAAAGGGGACATATACAATAGTTTCAACAATAAAGATTTAAAAACTAAAAAAAACCCAAAATGGACTGACACTGACAAACCAACGGGCGCTTAGGATACAAAACGGCCTGTTTCCGGTCTTGGCAAGTGCACCGAAGTTAGAAGCCTGTGCGCTAGGGACAGAGGGCCTGGGTTCCAGTCCCGGATCGGCCACGGCACCACCATGGGCCTTCCCACGCCCCAACATCTCACTCTGTGACAGGAGGACACAGCCCACCACGGCCTTCCTCAGAGGTGGCCCGAGGGGGAATGGCAGTGCCCATGCCTGTGTGTCTGCCCACTGAGGGGTCAGGGCACGGGAGCTCCACATAGCAGCACAGTCCCTGTGTGTGTGTGTGTGTGTGTGTGTGTGTGTGTGTTTAATGTTTTCTTTTCCTTTTTTAAATAAAATATATGTTTATTGATTTCAGGAGGAAGGGAGAGGGAGAGAGAGAGAGAAACATCAGTGATGAGAGAGAATCACGGATCAGCTGCCTCCTGCACGCCCCACACTGGGAATGGAGCCCACAACCCGGGCATGTGCCCTTGACCGGGAATTGAACCGTGATCTCCTGGTTCCCAGGTCGATGCTCAACCACTGAGCCACGCAGGCCGGGCCCTGTGTATGTTTGATACTCTCTGATTTATGAACACGTACGTTTAGGGGACCTGTGCCTTCGCCTTTGACCTCTGCTCTGAAACCTCTAATCATGACTCCACTCACTGCTCCTGCCAGCGGCCTCCACCGCCACAGGAGTCTGGCTCGCTGTCTCTCCTGTCCCTTTTCATTCTCCCGTCCATGGCTTGGGAGGAGCTGAGCGATGGTGCTATCGGGTCCCTAAGAACTAAGTTCCAGGGTTTCCACAGGCGGCATCGCCATGCTATCCACAACGGGCTCTGCGCGGGATTGGCGCTGCCCGGGAAGTGAACAGGTCAGCTCGCTGTTTCTCACCCCCCAGCATCCCCGCTCTGCCACGGGGCCTGCTCGCGTGGGGTGGAGACGCGCCTCCCAGCGCAGCCCGCCTCTTGGGCCTTTTCCCTTCTAATCGCCTCCCACAGTGTGGTGTTTCCCAGGAGGGCACTGAACAGCTGTTTTTGTTACAAAAAGCAGGAATTTACACTGGTTCCGATTGCACGCATTTCTACAACTGCCGGCTATTTTTTAAATCGGTGAAAAATGTACCCGGATGGTCTATATTGGCTGTGTAGATAATACGGAAGAAAAGAAAGTTGGGTTTAGAATTATAATGCAGTATACAATGCATGAAACCCCACTTAACAAGATCACGTATCTCTAATACATGTTCTATATCTTCCCCTAAAAACTGGATGAAAAAGCTTAAGCTGTTTTGCCCCCTTCCCTGAAATTAACACCTGTAATGAAGGCATGCTTTTGGGGAGAAAAAAAAATCCACTCTTTAGCAAATCAAATGAGTCTGCTTTGATGTAAACGGGTTTGAGCGAGCGAACGGCATTTCAGTCTAGTTAGGATGGCTCTTCCCATAATGCATGGGAAATTTTCAAACTTTTGAATGATTTATTGCATTATTACTTTTTCTTACATTTGTTCCTGCCCAATATCAAACTGTTAGTCACAGTGTCTGTAAGGTGATTGGAAAAGGATGAAAATATCCTTTGTCTTTGAAGTTTATGTTTCTTCATTTCCTGATTAAATTGGCGAAGGGATGCCAAGCTCTATGTAAATTGACTGTGCAATACCAGTATAAGAGGATTTTATTTTTATTAGCAGTAATCTTGCCCGCAACTCACGACTGTGTTAGAAGAAACAAAATATAACCCCGTGTGCCTAATTTAAAATGAGCTACTGTCTCAAAGCGTATTCATCGGTAGGTTCCGGATTGTGAAGTAAAGTCACAGAAGTCACTGGCGGAACATGCCGGCAGAGGACAGAGCGTAAAAACGTTCAACAAGCATGTGCGACTGAACAGACCGTGGTGGGTTGTGCTGTGGGAAACGAGGATGTTAAAGTACAACCTCAGCGTCCCAGGTTGCCTGCGAGAGACGGTGGAGCCCTTGTGCAAAGGCAGACCCACCAGGGGAGCGGGATGGGCCAGGAGATGACCGGAAGGAGACTTCCTCCTCTCTCATGAGGGAAAGGCCAGCTTCCTCCCCAGCAGCTCCTGCTCCCCTGCCCCAGTGCTAACTGCATAAGCCGTGTCTGTGAGCACCCTCACGAGGCTGCGAGACAGCCCTGGAGACCTGGCTTCAAGTTCATGCGCAAACACCTGGCCAATCCGGAGTCCCAGACCTCGCACACACATGGCTCAGAAGCTGAGCATTGACCTATGAACCAGGTGGTCACGGTTAGATTCCCATCAGGGCACAGGCCTGGGTTGCAGGCTTGATCCCCAGTAGGGGGCGTGCAGGAGGCAGCCGATCAATGATTCTCTCCCATCATTGGTGTTTCTATCTCTCTCTCCCTCTCCCTTTCTCTCTGACATCAATAAAAAATATATATTTTTAAAAATGCGGAGTGGCTACCTGTAGCTGGGGTCCCTATGCATGCAGGTGGTTTTCTACCAATAATATGGAATAGTATGTGACCATCTAAAAAAAATTGTTTCAAAATCTGAGTCAGAGGATAGGACTGCGACCTCAGAATACAACCATGTCACGGTGAGCGGGGACAGGTGAGCGCCCAGTAGCCTCCCTCCTGCCCCCCCGCCCCCCCCCCCCAGGCCTTGCTGGCTGGCAGGCACCTACCTTGTCTGCTGTACTCATCCGCTTCCCGGTGAACCAGGTCCTTCACTCTGTTCCCGTAGAGCAGCCGGGAGGAGTCGTGGTCGAAGGCCTTGAGCGTCTCGCTGGAGCTGTAGGACTTCTGCGTGGGCACCCTACACTCCTCGTTGTCGGCCGAGGAGTTGGTGTGCCGCCGCTCCTTCTCGCGCCTGCCCTTGGTCAGGGAGCAGTAGGGCCTCCGCTCCTTCACATCCATGCTTCATTCCTTCCGGGCGCACATGGGTCCTGGGGGCGGCGGGCGCGGCTCAGGGGGTGGCTCTCATCGGCTCTCTGGAAGGAGAAAAGGGGGGCAGGCGGTCAGTGTCCCCTTCATCAGGACACAGGCTCGCCGGGGCTCTGAGCTCAGTGGGTTGAGCATCCTCCCCTGCACCTCCAGGCCGCAGGTTCCATTCAGCTCAGGGCAGGTGCCTGTTGCAGAATGGATGCCCAGTAGGGGGCGTGCAGGAGCAGCCTAGGAGCGGTTCTCTCGCCTGGATGTTTCTCTAGTTCCCTCCCCCTCTCCCTCTCTCAAATCAATTAGAAATATATTTAAAAAATTCGCTTTCAACAAGAAGTGAACATTGGTGGGATCAGTGTAAATTATCCTGATTATTAGGAGTTGAGGCATGTTTTCTGTTAGTGAGTTATGGGTGCTTGTTTAAGCTACCATATCTGAATTTCCACATTGATACAAAAAACAAGCTGAATGCAGCACTAATGCAGCTTACACCTGGCCTCAGCATGCTTGTTACATTTTCCACAATGGAAACATTTTCTCTTGTAGCATTTTCTCCATTTGTAAGTACTTTCCCTTCCTTTTTCTTGATAAAAAAATATTTGTATTGATTTCAGAGAGGAAGGGAGAGGGAGAGAGAGATAGAAACATCAATAATGAAAGAGAATCATTGATCGGCTGCCTCCTGCACGCCCCACACTGGGCATCGAGCCCACAATCCGGACATATGCCCTGACGGGAAATCGAACCATGACCTCCTGGTTCCTAGGTCAAAGCTCAATCACTGACCCACACCGGCCGGGCTCACAGGGTTCTTTAATGTGCTTCCAGCGTGGAATCCTACAGCCACTTCTCCCTCTGGTCTCAGCTTATGTCTCCGCTGTCATGCGCCTTAATTCTTTCTGAGCAACGTTACCTCCTACACCTTTCACATGCAAATCTCTGCCTTCCATCCAGCAGTAAGGATGGCCAGACTCTGAGCTGGAACCTTCACAGCCTCCCAGAGCGTTGCTCCTCCTGCGCCCTCTTCAACCCAACAACACCCTTTCCTCCCCGAGCCACCAGGGCTGGGTTGCCTCTCAGGGGTCCTCGCTGTTCTGCTGTTGCGTGAGCTGGGCCAGAGGGAGTAGCTGCTAACCTCTTAGCTCGGTTGTTGAAATGGATCTTGACTTCCCACCTTTTCCTTCGATTGCATAAATCTGATCTTCAAAAACTAGTATTATCCACGGACTCCTTCTGATTTATGACCCCCATTAGTCTCTTTACAAATTCTCCTCATCGCTCTTAATCGAAATTGGATTTCTCTTAGTCTAGCTTTCCTTTCAGTTTAAGACTATCAATAATTTTAAGGTATGGTGACGGAGACTATTTTTATACATTAGGATTAAGACAACAATACACGGATTCACTCTTCTTATGCTAGCGAACAAGTTACTTTAGACAAGTATTTATCGAGTGACTATTACAGTCTCTTCTATGCCCTGAGGACCCACCATTGCTGAAACAGTGTGCCTGCCCTCGTGGAGTGAACGTTCAGTGGGGTTCCTAGGCACCTTCTTTCTAATAGAGTGAGCAAATATGTCTGAGTTCAACCCAAATCTTGTCTCCAAAGTAGTCTGTATCTCATTGGCTGAAAGTCCACGTAGACCCTCAAAACTAAATGATCATCAAAAAGCTCTTAATTGACCAGAAAAAAAAAAAAGCTAATTCAAGCATTTTTAGGAACAGAGCTTTGGGATTTGAGATCATTATAAAAGTTCTATTTTTTTTTTGCCCCAAGTTGCCATCTATTTTAAAATAAGTGTTTCTATACTGATGTATGCATTGTTATACTTTAAAATGGACTGATTGAAGCAAGGGAAAAGTGTTTTATGGTGTCTGTGTGTATGTTTTTTTACTGCAGTTTTGCTTCAGTTAGTTAGATCACCAGGCACTGACTGGTAAATTCTAGTCTGCCAGCCAAAGCCATCCAATCAGCTGTTTCCGTAAATAAATTTTACTGGAACACAGCATGTGTGTTTCTTTATGGATTGTCCTTGGCTGTGCCCGTGCCACAGAATTGAGTGGTTGTAACAGAGACTGTAGGAAATTGAATCCTGTCTCCCAAAAAGACCATGTGGGTGTCTTAATCCCTAGTACCTGTGCCTGTGACTTTCTCTGGAAATATGGTCTTGGAAGTTATAATCAAGTTAAGCTGAGGTCATACTGGATTAGGGTGGGTCCTGAACCCAGTGACTGGCATCACTATGAGAGACAGAAGAGGGAGGTATGGATACAGGGACATACACGCAAACAGGAAAACAGGCCACGTGAGGACCAAGGCGGAGATTGGAGCGATGCAGCTACAAGCCAAGAAATGCAAGGGCTGCCGGCACCGTCAGAAGCTGGGAGAGAGGCTGCAATAGATGCTTCCCGAGAACTCCAGAGAGAGCACGGCCCTGCCACCATCTGGATTTCATGCTTCTGCCTTCAGAGCTGAGAGAATACACTTCCGTTGCTCTAAGCCAGTGGTGGGCAAACTCATTAGTCAACAGAGCCAAATATCAACAGTACAACGATTGAAATTTCTTTTGAGAGCCAAATTTTTAAAACTTAAACTATATAGGTAGGGACATTGTTATTAACTTCATTAGGGTACTCCTAAGCCAGTGGTCGGCAAACTGCAGCTCACGAGCCACATGCGACTCTTTGGCCCCTTGAGTGTGGCTCTTCCACAAAATACCGACTTCTGTGCATGGGCCACGAAGTTTCAATCGCACTGTAAGTGCGCGCCCGCACGTGGTATTTTGTGGAAGAGCCACACTCAAGGGGCCAAAGAGCTGCATGTGGCTCACGAGCTGCAGTTTGCCGACCACTGCTCTAAGCCCCCAAGTTTGTGGTAATTTGTTACTGCAGCCAGGGAAGCTAAGGCAGAGACCTGATGGCCTGCAAAGTCTAAACTACTTACTCTCTGGCTTTGTTGTTGTTGATCCTCACCCAAGGATATTTTCCCATTGATTTTTAGGGAGAGTGGAAGAGAGAGGGAGAGACAGAGAGAAACATCAATGTGAGAGAAACACATTGATTGGTTGCCTCCTGCACGTACCTCAATCACGGCCCAGGCAGGGGAGGAGCCTACAACCAAGGTACGTGCCCTTGACTGGAACCTTTTGGTCCGCAGGCCAATGCTTATCCACTGAGCCAAACAGGCTAGGGCTACCCTCCAGCTCTTTAGAGAAAAAATTGCCAATGTCTGAGGTAGACCATGCATACTTCCATTCTGTCTTTATTTGTCCCTTTGGATCTATGAATGTTAAGACTATTCTCTTTTCTATATAGTCCACGATACCGTTTTTACAATCTTGCAAATGAGATAATCAATAAGTTCTTTAACAGAGTGATGTGAACATATATCATCACTTAGTGAAGATGCATCCTTGCGGTAATGTTATGAATGTTTACGAATCTATACCAATTGCATGTTAAAAATGAGTGACGAAAAGATGGTTGTAGGTGTTCTTGAGCTTTACAGAACATCTCTAGCACCAAATACTGCATCTGAGTCATCTTTATCTGTGAAGCAATCCTCAATGCCATGATAAATCAAGATGTAGGACTCAAAGCCACCACCAGAGACAAAGCCATTTTGATCTCAGAGGGATTTCAAACTGAAAAGCCCTTTGCACCCGTCTGTCCATTTGTGTACGTCGTTCGAACTCTTCAAGGAGTTCAATTGCACTGTAATGTTTGCAGCCACCGTTTTCCCTCAGAAGCAAGTCAATGAGTTCCATGTGACTTCAAAGGCAGTCCTCTGCCATCTCCTGCACTCAAGGCTGGAGACGAGAAGGTTACAAGATGTAGCGCTAAGTTGTTGGAGCACTTTGGTGGCCACTGCATGGTCCTCCACCAAAAAGAGGGTCACTGTGAACTTTTTGGCATAAAGCACTTAACCTTCCTGCCTCGGTGGGCAGGGCTTGTGAAAAATAAGGAAAGCCATTAGGGAGAAAGTTAACCAAACACTTTTGATTGAATTGGCTGCCACAACTATGTGACAATACCAATCTGATTTGGTTCATTTTCATTAGTTCCTTGAAAAACAACTCAGTTAAAAACCATAACGCTCCTTTAGAAAACACAGCTGGTCTTAAAGCAACTGCCATTATATGGTTATTTGCTTTTCCTCAATCTCTTGCAATGTATCTGACCCACTGAGGGAGTGGGCAGGCAGTCCCTGACTTAGGGACACTAGACTTAGGGTGAGCATACCCTCTATTTCAGAGATATTATTAAAACACCAGAGGCCCTGTGCACGAAATTCGTGCAGGGGGTTGTCCCTCAGCCCAGCCTGCACCCTCTCCAATCTGGGACCCTCAGGGGATGTCTGAGGGGGACACTGAGGGGGATATCTGAGGGGGATGTCCGACTGCTGCTGCGGGATCGGGTCTAAAATGGCAGTCAGACATTCCTCTCACAATCCGGGACTGCTGGCTCCTAACCGCTGACCTGCCTGCTGGCCTGATTGATGCCTAACTGCTCCCCTGCCAGCCTGATTGCCCTCAACTTTCCTCCTCTGGCGGCCCGATCACCCCCAACTGCTCTGCCCTGTAGGCCTGGTCCCCCTCAACTGCCCTCCCCTGCAGGCCTGGTTGCTCCCAACTGCCCTCCCCTGTGGCCATCTTGTGGCAGCATCGCGCGAGAGCGTTGCACCACCTAGGCCAGCCGTGGGCAAACTACGGCCCACGGGCCGGATTCGGCCCGTTTGAAATGAATAAAACTAAAAAAAAAAAAGACCGTACCCTTTTATGTAATGATGTTTACTTTGAATTTATATTAGTTCACACAAACACTCCATCCATGCTTTTGTTCCGGCCCTCCGGTCCAGTTTAAGAACCCATTGTGGCCCTCGAGTCAAAAAGTTTGCCCACCCCTGACCTAGGCTTTTACTATATAGGATGCTTTGAAACTTGGCTAGAGAATTTAATATTATTACATTGTTTCATAACATGTTCCTAATTCCAAAGGAACATTTTTTAAATCGTACTTT